AGTGTATTTCTAATACTCTAGTATATTCTACTTAAAGAAGAACTCCAGGTTTTTATAACTCTAAATCCTTGCAGTGGGGTTACCCCCATACTGCAAGGGCTAAATCTTTGTTTTGGTCCAGGGGCACAATAAAGACGATATACTCACATGATCCTCTGTCCTGCTACAGTCAGTATTCACCTCTCTCCCCCTCTACTCCGGCTGTGGAATGTGCCTCAGGTTCCTCATGTCTAATGCAAGTCAATGGACCTGCATTAGACGTGATGATGTCAGCGGTCCTTAGTCTGTCCGAGCCCAAAGGAGAAGAGGCTGCGGGGTGGTCTAGCAGCCAGGTAAGACAAAGGATTAGGTGAGTATATTTTGTTTATTTGCACCCCTAGACCAAAACGAGCAGTTAACCCTTGCAGTGCAGGGATAGCTCCATTGCAAGGGTTAGTTTTTTTAAAGGTATATAAAATGTATATAAATCCTAACAATTAATTTCTCTTATTTGGTCCCTTTTGGACCCAATATATCACTGAAAAGTGTTTTGTGAGATCTGTTTGATGAGTAAAAAGAATACCTACTGGTCTTGCTGGAAATCATGTGAGCTAATAGCTTCCTGTCCTCTTCCTGTGCTAACTGTAATCAATTGATTTGTTCTCTGAGGGCTACATGCTATGGATAATAACAGAGGGGTGGGGTTCCAGGATTGCCTTCCTCCTGCACAGACAGCTGCATGCCCCTCATGACCATTTCACTGTCACCACTGCTGTCTTCTCCACCACTTCTTCCGGCATCTTCTCTTTTTGGCCCTTGGGGGGGGGGGGGTGCATTTATGAGGTATTTCATGTGTATGTACATTAGAGTTACAATGTCCTGGTACCCCATTACATTTTTGGGATCCTAAAGATGCTGGGAGTGTATGCTGCACTGTGCATAGAGACAAGCGAAGTTTCATCTTCCAAATAGCTGTACCTCCTAGCAAGTATTTTTTTGAGTTTAATTTTACTTTAACTTAGTATAATTGTATATCAGATTTATGTTTGTCCTCTTATGTAGCTTTATGTAGTAGATCATCTAAAGTCCAACGGTTGCAGCCATATCATCTGCATGATTTTGCACATTTTTCATCACTCATCCTTGACACATTACATGACACTACTACAGTGATTGAATTACGGTGGCTGATATACATGTGTGGCTATAAATCTTGGGGTATGTCCTCAACACTCTTTAGATCTATAGAAAGCCATGTGGAAGAGTAGTGAAACGTCTTCAACATTATAGAACAAGTCCAGTTGAGCATGACTATCTAAAAATGGCTTGCTTCACTGTAACTTTCCTGATATGCATACATGTTCCAGGTCAGTGATTATGTCATTAAAAAAAGCCAGAGGAGCAGCATACAAGAAGCAACTAGTATTTTAATAAATGGTTCAGCAAAGGCGGCCCTTGTACTTTTCTCATGACAAGTTTATGCGAGTCGTGAGTCAAATAAATCTATGACATAAATTTTACCAAAAACTGTGTTTTGCTTGCAGTTTTCTTTTTTTTTTAAATGTATTTTGATTTATTTCTCCATCAATATGTGACCCATAGGAATTTTTTTTTGAAATGACTGCCCTCTATGCTTATTTTTGAAAGAACCATTCGAACTGTCCAGTTTATTTTTCGACTTATCACCGTGGGTTAGACAGAAGGACACGTGTAATGAGGTGTCCCAAGAAGGCCAGACTTGGATTCATTAGGAGTTACTGTACTTGTTATGAAATACATTTTGTCGTATATTTCATTTGGTGAAACAGAGCCTGAAAGCAACATAATTACTGTATGGCTGAGCAGGGAAAATAGCAAAGTTAGTGGATTCTACACTCTCAGATGTATGCAAGGAATTTCACTCCAGACAAAATGTCCTTTCAGATAAAAAATAATGAAACTCTGTTTCTGTTCAACTTGTGCAAAATAACAGTACGGTCCTCAGAAGATTTTTCTCATAGGATAATGAGCCCTTTCTTGTGTGCCAGACAGGAAGACATTCTTGGTTTGTGTATGTTTTTTTAAATAAATTGGACTTTTAAATTATTACAAATATGCACATTATCCAGCACATGTATATGGAATCTGATGTCCCAGTAAACAGATGTACCCATTGTAAATCTATGTGGCTATGCCCTGGCACATTGCTGCTAGAAGCTTCTTGTGTTGTTGAGACACAGATGGGACCTGCTTGTGCAATACTGGTGGTGCCAGTAGTCGTTCGCCTCTGTTTAGTCATACTTCAGCTATGGGGACAGAAATGTAGGCAGCACCTGCATTGCAGGATTATGCAAGTGTATCTTCTATTTGGCCAAGAAGGAGTTGTACAGAGGCACATTCTATGTTCTTCTTGTCTTCTATTCTTGGCTCTCCTTATCATATAGCCATAGTATTATGTCAAAATACTTGCAGATGTCATGTAATAATGCATGAACCATAACACAATAAAAATTGTATGCACATTCTGTGTCCTGTTATGGCTTTGTTTTTGATGTACCCCCTGTCTGATACTGAAGCCGTCCATATGACATCATTATTGAATAGATAGATAGATAGATAGATAGATAGATAGATTAAAAGTCTTAAGAGTCAGGCAAAGATAGTGATGTTTCAGGTTCTGATGAAAGAGGTTTGTCCTCAGGAACGCATCAACTGAAAGAGGGTCAGCGTGCAGATGGCTTCAGTCTTAGTACTAGCACTTCCTTTCCCTCACCCTATTTTCGTGTATTCATCTTGATGGTCTCCTAAGATTATATCGCTTTCTGCTCATTTATACTAGCTGGTTTGTAAGTACCTTTTCAGCTGTGTGTTTTATCCTTTATAAATCCATTTTACACTATGGAGGCGCTCCTTTTGCTTTGTCCTCATCAGATTTTCGGTTTCCCTTGACTGTGAGGAGCTGCCCCCCTGTATATACCTTTGGAAGACCATTTTCAGGAGCAGGTACTGTGTTTTGGCGCCTGTGATTGCCACATATCTTAATACAGAAGTGATACTGGCAACTTTACACTTTGTACAAGACCCAAAACAACCCAACAGACCAATTGGCACTGTCAGAATGGTGAGCAGAGAGGAGACAAGGAGCATCCATTTTTCCATCTCCCCTAGAAGCACAGAACCAGGAAGCACCCAGCTCTGAGCACTTCCGATTTCAGAGCTGTCAGATCCTGGCAGATTCATCTGGGAAAACAGCCAATCAAGCAAAGTCTGTATTCAGTTTAGCTGGGGGGAGTGCAAAGGAGGCAGTAGAGATCCCTGATGCCTCTGTAAAGATCACTTGTCACTCCTTAAAGGCTATCACATAGAAGGCTTGCAGTCCCCTTGTGATAGCATTAAAGTTAATTTTTTAAAAAGGTTTTTAAAAATTAAAAATAAAAATATTTTTTAACGTTAGCCTTGCACACATTTATATATTAATACATATGTATGTTGCATAAGGGTACATAAATGACAATGAATTAGGTATCACTGTGCACACCATAGTGAGAGGAATAATTCAAGGGCCATTGCTGGGCAATGCTAAGTTTATGAGGTATAAAGATTTTGAAATCATAACCCATGGTGGACAAAACATTGGGTATCCATTCTGCTGCCACTCACAATTTTAAGTCTTGACATATTTGGTATCTCTTTACTCAATTGAATTCAGTCTAATCTTTTATAATTTAAAAAAAAATGAACATTTTATTGTGTTTGTGTGCACTAAAATTAATTTGAATTCATCCTTTACTAAAAAATATAGATTTGATAAAAAGATAAAAGTTGACAATGTTTTAGGGTTTTAAGAGCATTGTCATATAAAATAATTTGCATTTCAGCAAAAAAATTTCTCCGGCAGCAAAAGGGTTGAGGGAATTTTCTATGTGATTGTGACTAAGTAATTGTTCTGTCTCTCAATGGAGAATATACTCCAACTAGGAGATGGAGAGCATGCAGGTCCAAAGGTTACAACCATCCTTGATGGTAAGTTGGAGAGCTCAGATTAAACTAATTGTGGAGAGAGAAGAGTAAATAGAAGGAGAAGAGGAGAGAAGAGAAGAGGGGAGGGGAGCTGCCTTGGATTTCCACAGCTTATGCTAAGTGCTCTCATAGGTATTACTAAGTGTGTGGTTCCTCTTGGACAGTGCAGGGATGGAGAGAATAAGAAAAGAGAGGAGGAAAGTGGAGGAGAGACCAGGGAAGGAGCAGAAGATGAGAGGAAGGGAAGAGAGGAAGGAAGGGGGAGAGGAAAGAAGTGACAGGAAAGGGGAGGAAAGAAGAAGAGGTGGAGAAAAGAGGAGGGAAGGAGAGAGGGGGAAGCAAGAGCAAGAGGAATGAGAAATACATGGAGTGGAGGGGAGAGAAGAAAAGGAAAGGGGGAGGGTAAAGGATAGGAGGGCAGGGGGGATAGGAAAGAAGTGGAGTGAATGGTAGAGGGTGAGGAGGGAGGGCAGAAGGGAGGATCTCCCTTTTTTCCTGCAGACCTAGTGCTGGGCTTTCTTATTAAAATGGCCTAATGCTGGGCTTTCTTATTACTACAGAGTAATATAATAACTTAATTTGATACATGTAAACTTTTAAACAAATAATGATATAAATCATATTAAACATCAATTTATAAACTTGTAAGCCTTCAAATGTTAAAAATAAAACTGATCAATAATTATTTTCTGCTGCCTTTCAATAGCATATGGCAATTATTCTTTATCCAGCATAAGGTAAATAAAATACAGAAGTTGTTTGCTGCTGGAAAAAGCTACTCCTCTCTTTGCTTCAGTTTTCATAATTCACCTCTAATAAATCTGGATTGCAAGAAAACTAATTTATTATTTACAGATTTTTTCCACAGAACTAGTTCTATGCCTGCGTGTTTTGGTCATTCTTTCTCTATCTACTTTTTGAAATGCAGGAAACCTGTTCCTGACATGTCTTGAATGTAAACATTCATCTCAGCTCTTGGCATTCAGCCTAGAACCTTTTTTTCCTCTCCTCGATTCAGCTGTTTGTATAAATTGGTGTTGACTGCCCGTCTCTGAGTCCATTGATTTACAAACCGCAGCAAGAGCCATTAGCAGCCCTCTGCTGACACACTGCAAACAGTAATGAAGCTTTTGCTGAGTTTCTTAGCACTTACTATATTGTTTCTGTTCACATACTCTGCTCCCCCAACGTGTTACTCAAGAGTGGTCATTCTGAGCAAAGAGATCACAGAATCCTACAAAACTCTGCAGAGAATTCTACCTGCTGTAAGTACCTAAATTATCATTTGGGGCATATAGGAGTAACAAATGCATCAATTTCTAACAGCTGTTATCTGTCGCAGGGACCATGCGTGGAATCTCTTCCAACAACTCTGTACCTGGATGAAGATTTTGGTTTATTTTATATAGCCTGATTTTTATTTATGTGTCATCTACTACTAGGGCACCATATAAACAGATCTCTGATCTTTGAATCTAAAGGGCAAAGGAAGACATATATCTATTTTTTCTTAGGACTCATGAACACAGGCATTTGAGATGAGTTCACCATGTGTTTACTAAACATTTACATTGGGGTTGATTTTCTATGAATAGAGACTGCTCTTGAATGTTCAAAACACAAACTAACCTTACTGATCTTTTAAGCCTGTGTCCACTTGCTCTTAAAGTGGCACAGCTCTGCCAAATATTTTTTTTTGAGCCAGTGGGTTGAATTTACTAAAGGAGTAGATAATAGTTGCTTGGAAAAATGAGTCAGTGTTTACAATTGATTGCAGGGAAACCTAAAAAAAAAGTATGTATAGATTTTGCCTTGTACATGACTTGATGAAAGAATTAAACACAGTTTCCATAATATTCACTAAGTGAATATTAGTGAGCTATTAAATATACTTACCTTTCCCCTGGCTTCCCCCTGCAGTGCCTAGGTGAGCGGGGAGTCATACTCCTTCCGGTGAGATCTGGTGAATAGTCCAAATCTTGCATGAAGATGATCAAGTTTTTGATCTAATCAGACAAGTATTGGGCTACTCAGCATTTCCCAAGATCTTGTCGAAAGGATGGTGATGGCACCCACCCAATTTCGAGAGAAGATCGAGTAGTTGGGCTACTCATTCCCCAGGATCTTGTCAGAAGGATGGTGACTGGGAAGTGAGAAGTGTGTACTGGAGTGTAGATCTCACTGGTGGCAGGGATACTGGAGAGTGAGAAGTGTGTCATGGGGTGTACAGTAGATCTCACTGGTGGCACAGATAGCCTCCATTCACACATTAGTGTTTTCCGCCCGTATCTGTATGCGCGTAAAACACACAAATCCGCCAAAAAATTATTTCTCGTGGGTCTCGTTCACACCTGCACATTCGTAATTGTGCACAAAAACACGACAAAAAGTACATGCACGATTTTTCTGGGCAATTTCAGCACATTCTGTCCCCAACAGTCTGCAGTAGTGGCTGCAAATGCGAAGAAAAATGCACATCTATTCAAAATTGCACATTTTTGTGCACATGTACGAACGTAAAAAACATGTTGACTTGCAAACACAGCTGTGTGAATGGAGCCATACTGCAGGGTGAGAAGTGTGTATTTGGGTGTAGATCTCACTGGTGGCACAGATACTAGAGAAAGCGAAGTGTGTATTGTGGTGTAGATATCACTGGGGGCATGGATACTAGAGAAAGAGAAGTGTGTACTGGGGTTATAGATCTCACTGGTGGCACAGATACTAGAGAGTGAGAAGTGTGTATTGTGGTGTAGATCTCACTGGTGGCACGGATACTGGAGAGTGAGAAGTGTGTACTGTGGTGTAGATCTCACTGGTAACATGAGTAGTGGAGAGTTTGAAGTGAATCACAGATCTAATTCAATTATATAGATGGTGTTTAGTCTATTTTAGAGCAGCTCTGAAGTGAAAGTGGGTTCTAGGAGAGAAAATATAACAATAAAAACTGTTTTTTTAATTTATAATAGACTTGTGATTATAGCAATGAGATCTCTAATTCTACACTTTTTTAAAGTAGTGTTTGGATTTTTTAAAGTTTATGGTTCACTTTAAAAATATAATGGTTTTGGGTAATTTAGTTTTACATTATTTATAAAGTTTATAAGATTTTAAACTGTTGTTTTATATCTGTGTTTAAGTCATTGTGTGTGAATGTCACCTTGTGCTATTGATCTTTGTAAACCTGCTAAAAGGGTACTAGATCTCCACCTACTGACTGAATAGAAGGCTATATGATATACATATGCATTATTTTATATTTCCCTGACTAAAATAAAAATATATCTTTAAAGTATACAGTATTGAGTTTTACAGTTTATATTATGACTTTTAGCAGTAAAGTGTCCCTGGAAATGATTTTAACACACTGGCATTTATTGTAATTAACCACAAATTGCTTTGTTTCAGAATTCATGTGTAATGACAAAACTGCGTAACTTTGTCTCAGCTCCAAACTGTGGAAGACTACCAAGGGTAACGACTTTAATGAACAAAGCCAGAAATCTATACAATATTATGAACACAGCTTGTAAAAGAGTAGGTTTTTACTTATTTATTCAATATATATATATT